CACCGGGTTTTGAATTGATACGTGGAGAAGTGGATGAATCTGGCACCAAGTTCCGGTTTTTCCTCAAAAATCTTAATCCAAATCCTAGCTCTTGAATTCCTGTCATCCTCCTTTGATTTTGCTCTCTCAATCTCAAATTGTGTTCTTGTGTATCTCAATGTGTGGAACTCCTTAAAAGTATCTCCATTCTTGCATTTAATTTTCTCTTGATAATTCAAAGGGTTACAAATTTATTAGAAATGAAGTGATTTGTTATGCCTCATCTAACGTGGCTCCAAACACTGGACATATGGTAGAAAGATAACAAACAATTCGGCTCACACTCCATATTATTATCTTACCTGTCTGTTGAGGCCATCAAACATAGGTATTCAAAATGATGCATCTCCTCAGTCGAGGTGCCATGTAGTGACATGCAAGGTGTCACGATCTGTTGTAATGAAATTTCGAAGAGCCTCTAAACCTACAGAGGCTTCTCCTTACTTTGTCTCTTTTAATAGATCTTTCCTATAAGATATTTTGGGATTGATTGATGTGAACTCTGTACAACAAACGCCTCTCAATCAACTTATTAGTCTACTTTTTAGATATACCTAGGCTATTGGTGGCTACTTTTTAGAATCATTAAATACCATCAGAACCTAGGATTGCAGAAGTGACACCTAAGAAAAGACATCTCGCTCATTAAGATGAGGCCATATGTCTTTTATCCAACGATAACCACTTCATCTCCTTCTACTATTTAAAAGTTCATACTTAGTGTTATTAATGCAATTTTACACTTTCAATTGTACTGCTATTCACTCTTATAATATTTCTCTACGATCCTATGCCTGTGCACATTCAAGTGGTTCAAATCTTTCGTTCTTCACACACACAAATATATAAGTTGATTGATTTGACTATCCAAATGATCCCGACATGGGATCAAGTGTTTCCAATTATTTGTCTAAGTGTATAGGAGCCTTACGTGTGAACGTTAGTAGAGTCAGGATCTATTAGTTACGTCATTGATCAGAAAAAATTGGTCAACGATTTTCATTCTCATACAAAATAGCTAACCTAGGGCGTAAACTTGGTCTACCTTGAAAGTCGTGGGCTCAACCATGTACAGTGGCAAATTCAGGATCTTGAGTGAGCACGTGCGATCGTTGATTGTAGACTGCAATAAAATATTAAAAATTAAATATATCAATTATTTTGCTAAAACTGAACATATATAATTTTGTTATATTTATTGTCAATATTCACCAAATAACATAGTGACCAAGGTAATAATTCAAAAGAAGAGTATATGTTTGAATATTTTCAATTTCATTAAAATTGCTAAAATTGAACAAATAATGTTCTGTTGCATTTGATGTCAAAATTCACTAAGTGCCATAATGGTCAAACTTTCCATACTCTAAAGGAGAGCACATATGTTTGAATCCTCTTGGTAAAAAATGTTGAACAAAAATAATTGCACAATAAATTGCCTTGGTAGTGATTCAATCCCAAGACTTCAAATTTTAAAATGGATGCTCTAACCAACTAAACTACAATAGATGTTTGAAAAAAAAAAGAATTATTAAATATATTGTCTAAAATATTTTTGTCACTATAAAGAAAAAAAAAAGAAATTGTTCCCAATGGATCCAGCACGCACAGTCGTAGGTGCTCTCCGAGCACTGGATCCGCCACTCCAATATTGTGTGTGAGTTGTGTAGGATCTTGTATTTTTCCACATTGGTAGGACTTGTGCAGGTTGTGTTAGGCTAACTCGATAAATCATGCGATCCCAAAAAATCTTATAAATATGGAAGTCAAATGAAAATCAAACGAATTCTGCACCCAAATTCATGAAATTCACAACACAAGCATATATTAACGGAAGTAGTACTATCATTCACCGTCCTAGTTAGGTTTCCAAATAAAAGAAAAGCTTCTTTTTCTCTTCTACGTACAACCCTCCATTCATGGGAATATTAAAACACGTAACAGCTGGAATCTTGAGTTAAACTTTTTGCAATAGCGCCCCCTGGGCATAGCCCAGTAGTACAAAGGATAGGAGTGATGTTATCTCACGTCTTGCTGACAGTCGCAGTGTAGGAGTTCGATTCTTGAGACATGAAATTGGACTTTTCGTAAGCGTAATGTACAGACAGCTCTTGTTTTATGACCTGGTGGGGCACATATCGCAATTTACCTCCCTCACAAAGCTTTAGGGACGGGGTGGTAGGGGCCTCAAGATTGGGTTCAACCTCTTATTTTTTTTTTTTTTTTTTTTTTTTTTTTTTTTTTTTTATTACTTTTGCAATAACACATTATTAAGCTGTACGGAGTAATTACATTAATCTGCCTTTTTTTGCTTTAGAAAATATTAATCCGTGTATAGATTTCTGTAAGAACATCGTGAAGAGAGCAGCATTTCATTCATGCATGGAGTAAACGGTAAGAAACTGGGGGGCACACATCAAACAATTCCCCTCAAATTATGGAAATTCCATATGCTTTTTACTTAATTCCTGGCTTTAATTTTGTCCCTTGATTGGGATACTGCTGGATTTTGATTTGACCTGAATTCAATAAATAAACAGTAAACATCCTCAGATTCAAAAGTCAAAACAACAGACATTACAGTTTTAAGATAAGAACGTGCATCTGAAGAGCAGTTTACTATAAACTGGAAATTTGATAGAACACATGCGAATAATACTGCAGAAAGCTTATTTAAGATTTATAATTATACATCTGGATTCATGCATATGATTTATTGAAACTCATATTTAAGAGAAACAAATCCTCATGTGTGTGTTATTGTGCTCTCGCGACCTTTATCCCGAGTATATATCCAGATGGTGTAAAAAAATCATCTCCTTTGATTTTCTTTCCTTTATGCACTGTTCTTCAAGGCCGTCTTTCAGTAGAAAGAGCACAAAAGACAGTGTCTGAATTCGGGTACAGATTATGGCATGGTGATGAGCCCGAAGGAGGGACAGAACCCTTGGGAAGCATAACCAAGAAAGGCTTAGCATTGAAATTCTTGATCTTATTTCTCTTCATTTTCTTCCTGTTCAGACGCCCCTCTTTATTCAAGAACAATGGAATCGAGTACTTGACGTCGAATTTTCGGTACTTTGCTGGCTGCGCCACCGGTGGAGCAGCTGTGAGTTGGGTTTCACTTTCAAGTGATCGTGTTGGATATGTGAAAGAAACCATCAAGGCGAGTATAAGAAGGAGACAGATGCAAACCTTTAAGGTCTTGTGATTACCCATGAGGCTTTCAGGACTGCAGAAAATGGTGTATGTGTATGGACATATACAAATATTAGTTTGTTAATTTGTGTGTGTGATTTGGAGGCTATAAATTCCAAGACAGAGTACAGTGAGAGAGAAGAAGGCAAAGTGAGGGTGATTAAAACTTTAAAGAATGAATCAAATTTTGGAAATTGGGTATTCCAAATAGGGTTCTTGATAATAAATGTATATATGCATCCAGTTCCCCGCCCTCGTGCCAGTGTCACCATTCTGCGGAGCATTTATATACTCGCCCAGATCCGAAGATTTTTCCAATTTTCTTATCTTCTAGTCAACCTTTCTCTTTTTAAATAGCCAAATCACTGCTTCAAGTTTGAAACCCTAAGCTATATGAAAGGATAATTTTATTTGGAAATTTCACTATTGAATTTGAAGTCAAATTGTTGGGATATAGCTGTGACAAAGGTTTATTTATTTATTTTTATTTTTTTAAGGTTTTTATAAAAATTGTGAAAATATGTGATTAAGAAATTGATAAAAGTTGTGAATATTATGAAATGTGTGATTAAAATTAATTGTTAATTTTGACTTAGATTTTACGAAACTCGATTTAAAGATTTAACGAAGCTCAAAACAATTTTCATATTCGAAGACTAACTGTTTAGTTACATGCTAGCTTGTTACTCGAATAATAGGTGCATGGTTGTCTTCTCGCAAATAGAAATATCAAATATGAACTATAGAGATTAACGAGAAAGGGGTGAAGGAAATTGAGGTGGTTGAAGGTGGACGTCCATATCTTTACATTCAAGCGTGATGAAAAATTTGTTCTTGATGCTTCATTTGCTACTATCGAATTGCTAGTCAACATTACAGATGCTGCTGAAATCGCTTGGGAAAAAGAGAGAATAAAATCAAGATAAACAAAATGATTAGCATTCCGTCTCAATCATTTGTAAAACATTTGATGATTATTTGTTGCAATCAAAAGTTACATTCTTCACTACTCATTTGTAATGTCAAACTCTTAGGATGCGAAGGTGTAAATTAAAAGTATAATGCTATTTATACTTAAAAAGTTATATTTACATACATATAATGTATCAAAAATAGTGGGATCTTTTTTTTTTTAATTTGATTGAAGAATTCTAACATAATCATATCTCCACATCATGTATATGTGAACTATTATGTATATGTAGCACAATTGAGATTAAAATAGGTGGGACAGCTCATATTCATCAAGTTGGCACGGTGAAGTCCAGCCAACAGCATGGCCGAAGCTTGCTTGGTAACGATAAGCATCTAAGCTTATCAAGTAATGTTGTTTACCTTCATTACACTACCCTGTGACATTAAATGATATGATCAACAAAATGAATATCATATTTATATATTTTATTGTTCTTTCATTTCATCCCACGCCATTTGCTATATAGACGAGTGATCATCTTTTGATGAGGATAGATAATAATTCTCAATCTTGCCACAAAATAAAGCGTGAGAACACAAAGAACTTCTCGAGCCTATCAAAGCATGATTAGCTTTAATGCTGAAAATTTCACGTGTTATATTTCACGAATACATGAATCATGAAGGAGAGTTCAATTTTGGATCATCGTGGTTTTTTTAACATTTTAGATTTCGGTTGTACTATATATACATAATGATTTACATATAAATGATGTGATAAAATATGATTGAATAGAAATTTTTTCAATCAAATAAAAGATTAGAACTTCTCCACTTTCTTTTGTTGACACTTCTTTCATATGCAAATTATTATGTAACTCTGTTATATGCAAGTAGCATAATTTTTTATATTCTATGGACAATCGTCAAGAAAGGGTAATTCTACTTGGAGTCTTCAACCTTTGATAAAGGTGATATTTGAGTTCCCAACTTACCAAATATAGCACCAGAGTGCTTAACCTTTCAAAACTGGGCAAGAGTGGTCCGTACACGAGTAAAAATGTTGGCTAAAGCCCCTTGGACAACCCCCTGGACGTCCAGGGGGTTGTCACCCAATAATAGCTCAAAAATGTTACCTATTGAGGACCATGGTTGCACTGTTTCGAAATGATAGGTATTCGGATTGCACGTTTGATAGGTCGAGGATCCAGCAGTCACACTCATCAGAAGTTGGGCCTCCATCTCGAACCAAAAAAAGGCCCACGTCCCAGTTTGGACCGGGCCTCATTCCTTGCCCAACCGAGCTTATCAAACTCGGGAGCACACAGAATAAATGGAACCAAAACCCTGTTAATTTCCCGCCTAAATCGAACACAGTAGCTTGCGGTCGCGGGGGAGCACACAATAATAAGGGAGAGGGTGCATTTCGAAATCGCTGTCTTGTTCAGTGAAAGTTTACATTGCGACAGAGCTAACCAGCGGTTATTTATTAGGCATTTTTTCAAATTTAAGACCGCAGAACTGCACTTAATTCTCTTTTTGATTTCATATTGATCAATTATTTGAATTTTAAGCTTTGAGCTTGTGATAGGTTGACTCGGTGAATTTCCGAAGAAATTTTTAGTTTGTACCATATTGGCCCATTTTTTGTGAAAAATGAGTTTTATAATAGTTATTTTTTGGATAATGTGTGGTTAAAAGGTAGGGAAATAGTTTGGCTTTATGTGCAAAATTATTTTATTGGAAGATTGTGTGACCGAAAATAACGTTGGAGAAAAATTTTGAGATAATGCGGCTCAAACAAGGGCTAAAATTAGAAATGGTTTGTTATGTTACGAACTTTATCAAATTGTCTTTGTAAAAATTAAATTCTATAGAACTTGATGACATTCAGTAAGTCTTATAATATTATCATAGTGACAAGTTATTGAATTTTAAATCAACTTGTAAGGGTACTTTTAGTTGAAATAATGGTTACAAGGATTTGTGAGTGCTCTTGATATAATTTGGAGTTGAATTTAACATTCTGTCAAATAATCCATATAAAGAAAGATACTTATATCCTGTGGCGTAGGATTATGTTACAAGGGACATGTTTGTCTATGAGCTGTACCTAATCTATTTTCATAGTTCTCTTCATATTTATTGATTTTTAAAATCAAAGCATGCTTCTTTTTAATGTTTTATCATGCCATCTTTATTTAGAAAGTGTTTCCACTCATTATTATTTCATTTTGGCAGATGATAAAGATGAGTTTTTCTCTAGTAAATCGTGAATGTCTAAAATGTAGTAAATGCAGATTTCTTGTTCTATATATCAGTTTTTATTTTAATCACATCTCATTCATTATTCAACTGATTGTATAGCTAAAAATGTTGGATTCAAGGCAAAAAGCGAATATGGATGGAAGCTGTATCTTTGGAAGGTTTTGGAGAAGGCTATCACCTGATAAAATGTCAGATCACTCCATAGCCCCGATCCGAGAAGCTAAATGCAGGGCCTGATTGGAAGGCCTGAAAATTATGTAATTGACTTCACTAGTTTTTTATATGATTATTGAATTTTAGCAATCCTTAATTGATTTGTGTAACTCAAATTCTCCCTGAATATATCAATTATAAACTTACTTTGAAATGCAGCTATTTGCACGCTTACATTATAGCCTTGTAATTCTTAAGTCACATCACACACTGCCTTCACACTGGTTTGTCAGAACAAACAAATGGTCACCATCTCGTATGACACTTAAGTCATCTATTTCTGCATTCTCGGCATTTACAACTTTCGTAAGATTCCTTTCACCGAATTTTTGATCTGCAGTTTCACAAGGAAAGGGATGAAAATCAGATAGAACCATGGGGAGATCATTTTTTCTTTCATTCTTGACTTACTAAATTGTCTGTGCACTTGAAATCTGGCAATTTCAAGCTCTATAGAGATTGAAAAACGCATACCTGCTAGTTTGAATAGCTCGTCAAGTGATTCAGGTAGCATAATTAGCTTTCCATGCTGCTTTTGTGAAATATCTTTCTCTGGAAACTTCATGTGAATGGTGACTCTCTTCCTGGATGATTGTATTGCTTCTGTACTACTGTGATGGCTACAACTGCTAGAACTGACATGCATAAGATTCCTACAACTATTTTTCAAATAATCAGCAGCCCCATTTTCTGTTGGCTCGATATGTCTAGTTTTTTCAGCTATTTCTGGCCCAAGAAACTCGACTCTGTGATTATCTACTTTCTTCTTATTTTCGTAACTCAATATAAGGTCATATATTCCTTTGTTATCACATAGTAAGGCTAATGCTTTTGCTGTCCACCCTCTCATATCTGGTTTATTTGCATTTGCTCCTCTTTCCAGCAAAATTCTAACCATTTCGAGATGCCCCTGGCTAACAGCAACATGGAGAGCTGTTTCACCATCCTCAGCTGATGAATTTATGCCTATTTGACTTCTATAGGCATCATAAGCATTTCTTGGTTGTTTCCTTTCTAGAAAATCTGAATTGGGTATCTCTACTCTCAATCCCTGTTTCAGTCTAACTCTGCATGGGTTATCTCCAGCATGGACATAGCAGTCTCCTGCTTCATTATGCGAATTATTTAGGATCAATCTTGGATCCTGTTGGTCCTCTATATCAATGCTTGTACATGCTTTCAGTTTCTGGAAATGAAAAATAGTGCAGTTATTGGCGTATGCATAACAGAAAGTAGGATTAACCTAATGCTTCTCATTAAACTTACTGTGAACAGATTATTCATGATAATACGTTCATCTTCTGGGTTTGTTTGAAGAATTTTCAGTAAAGTAGTCCTGTTCAGCCTTAGTACTTGAGAAACATCAGTTGTTCGAATGCCAAATGGCTGAGGTTTTCCACATAAAACCCCTATTTCTCCAAATATTTCTCCTGAACCAGCCTTTCCCAGGACCTGTATGTATGAGGGTGTATGAGGTCTAATTCTATAGAATCTACACTGTCCTTGATTTTATTCATGATGAAGATCCTGAGTAGAGATTTCTTACTTGATCATGCCCATCAATGTTTTCAATCAAGTCCTACCATCGGGGGAAAAAAAGGGGGAAAAAAAAAGAAGGAAAAAGGTTAGATAGGAATGGAGACACTAGTATTTTGAAGTTACACTTTCAAAAATATTTAATTGCGTACTTACAACAGTTCCTGAGACCAGTATATAAGTAAATGTTGGAGCCTCATCTTGTAAAATCAAATCCTCTTTGGGAGGGTAGTACTCAGCTTCCAATTCTGGTACCTGTTTCACAAAAACCAGGAAAATATAATCTACTACCTTGCTCATATTTTCTATTGCTTCTCCATGGAAGAAAAACAAATTCTCGGCATGCAAAAGGAAAATGGGTGAGAGGAGAGGAGAGGAGCGGAAAAATGATACCATTTGGAAAAGGAAACCTTGTGACACTCCCTGGAATAGAGGGACAGTTTGAACAACAGGGTAAAATAGATAGTGAGCAATGCTGGAACGAATGGCTTTCGGCAGGCCATTCAAGGTCTCTTGCTGTTTCAATCCTTCTGTTTTGAACTTTAGACATATGTGAGACAAAATTTTGTCTTGTATATGTGGAGGCAGCTGGTTCCGCTTTGTAAATTCTGAAGCTGATCTTATTGTATCTCTCTGCAGCACCAAAACCTAGTTTCTCAGGAACAGTGGAGAAGTTTCGCCAAATTACTCGTGCAGCTGAGTGTGTGTTGGTTGGAGAGGGTGGTTGTCTTCAGTTGAAGAATTGCTTCATGAAATGCTCATTTCAACCAACGTGAGCTAGGTGTAATGAAGAGTCGTACACGTTTATAATTATATCTTCCCAGCTACTTTCATAGAATGAGTTAACTGCTTTTATTTCTTGAACTGATATGTTAATGTGTGATAATGTCTAGGATATAATTTCATGCAGGCTTGTTTTCAGGATCAAGTGTTAAATGTGATTGCAACGTTGCCAACATATGTTTCAGATTTTCCTCAAAATCTTTTGACATATAAACTAATTCTGTGTTTGCATGCCTGGTTGCTTATGTCTGTGAGAGAGCAAGAGAGAGAATCATACAAAGTTTCTGGTGCGGCTGGTCCAGTGAACTACAAGATTTGTCATGTTCCCTATGAGGTAAGCTGTCAATCCCAAGTTAAACAGCATGTAAAATATATCAAACAGCATCTCTCTTGGGTTCTCAGCGTGCAAGTCCCCATAACCTGTTGTGGTTAGTGTCACTATAGACCAATAAATTGCAGTTACGTATCTGTCCCAGAGGCTAATCTTTTTGAAATTAGGATACATGGCACCAATCCATGTACTTTTCGGATCTGGATATCTGTCTGCAATAATGTAGTTAAAGCACCCAGCACAATGTACAGTGAACAAAGTTACCTGATTCAAATAAGAGAAGTAGCAATTTATAATCTTAGTGGCAAATACATGCAAGTAGATAGAATAATTACTACTGAAAATGTGAAACAAGAAACTTCTTACAGAAATGAGTTTTGTGCAGCGAGTCCAGAAATAATTAAACCGAATGTCCTTTTCAAGTCTGAAGGAAATCAAACTGGCTTAAGTGAGAATTTTTTTGTTCTGCAGGTATTCAAAAACTTTGGAAGAAACAAAAGATTTCAATGTGGTGATGGACCTTGCAAACAGTGAGCTGACTCGTCTGAGACGCCAAAGTCGTAGCATACTGAGCAATTTAAAGCCTAGTCCACCACTGTGTTTTTTGAACAGAAGGCTGATAGCTCGAAATGGTATTGTTGAGCAGATATCAAAAATGAACCAGGTGGATAGATACCTATTAACCAGATATAACAGAGGTAAAAGAATTACTTCTAGATTATGGTAAAGGATCTCCTGACTCTACACAGGTATAGACTGCTGCATGTTTACCTTATGGCAATTTTTCTTGGATCATCAACTAAAAGATAAGTTTGGCTATCAAGATATGCCACGAAGAAGGTGAGAAGAATATCCATAGCAAAGAAGCTGTTGACAATATTGTCAAAAACAAACAGTGCATCCTGCTTGTAAGTCAGAAATGCAAACTCAAATGGAGAAATCCAGGCCGAGTAAATGACTAAGAGAACTAGAAACATCTCCCAAGCCCTGAAATGAACAATAGAAATGAGATCAGTGGCTTCCTTATTACACACTAGCTTTGGGAGTTGAATCAAACTCATCACCTATAGTGGGGACTGAATGGAGAAACTATGTGTCTCCGAAGTATTGTTGCTTGGTTGATTCTGGCTCCAAGGGATGGGAGGAGATCATTAGAGAAGAAGCCACTATAGGTTTGTGTATTCGTTGGGAATTCCTCCACGCAGAACCGTCTTAGGAAGTTCCTTGAATATGAAAACGACATTTTGGGATTGAATGAATCTCTTAAGGTTAGAACAGACTGTTAAGCTTGGTCTGTGTGTAAGTATATGATGGGAGTTTATATATAGCAAAGTCGTTGGGAGATGTCATGGGTAAAGAGACTCCTTTTGGAGCCAACTTTCCCTTTATAGAAATTTACTTTCTCCATATGCCCTGAATGTAGACTGAAAGATTGTGCAACTAATACGGTAATCAAGAAGAGAGAAAATGTAAAAAGGAAATAACTCTTCGTGCTTAGAATAATTATAAACAATGCAATACTGGCATGGAATGGAAGTTTGGAACCTGAATGGCAGACATGAGTCTTTGTGTAATGCAGTCGCAGAGATGGAATTTTGAAAGAGGGAGAGGAGAAGAGGGTCCGGATGGGATGGTGCTGGTGTTGATGGAAATGGTGGGAGCTCCATCATCAATAAATGTGGGATATAGATTATACATACAGACATTCAAAGGACAGATTTGAGTGAAAATTGAATCTGTGGGATCATTTCAAAATCTAGAACTGGACCAATATTTTTATGGATGCTCACGTGGACCAACAGACGTGTCCTTTCTAGGAAATGTGTGACATTAGGAAGAGCCCTTCTTAACAACTCAAAAATTTCGACATATTTTGTTTATGGCATGTAATCAGAACCATATATGTGAAATGGATTGCTGCCATAAATCCAACCGCCCTCTTTCATCGGGTATGAATTGGCTCTTTTGTGATAAGCAGTTTTATCTACTGTTATTGATATCCGCCGACCTCCTTTTGATTGATTTCTTGAAAATTGATGTTTAGATAGCCAACATGCACAAACTTTAATCTTTCCTTCCTGTTTTATTTTCTTGTGGGATTAGTGTTTGTAGATAAGACCTTTAAGTAAGTTTTCAGTCAAATGATATTCATGTTATGGATTAATTTTGACAATCATGTTTGGCGTACATCATGATTTACACCATTGTTTACACTTTGTCACGTGTCATCACACCATAGACAATTCAAAATGAAAATAGTTTTTTTAATCCAATTATTTGTAGATAAAATCTTTCGTGGTTGGGCTCGATGGATGGAGGAAGATTGAGGAGTATGAACCTAATTTTGGAGAGTTCATGTCATAATCTTGTGCCCCATGTTCACACACTTAAACTCGTGAAGATGTCATGGAAATTGGTATTATTATAGTTTAATCAAAGATGCAGAAGCAGATAAAATATGATTCAAAAAGCATTTTTTATTTTATTTTATTTTATATATAAAAGGAGGACCCACCCAGTTCAACAATTATATCCGGATTCATAATCTGTGTTACAGAGAGATCTTTTGCCGACTCAATTTTATTTTAAACGTGTACACGCTTACATGTTGGTTGTTGGGATAATGTGTCCTTAATTCATCATAAATAGTAATACAGAGACAATCAAGTGGACACGTTTAGTCCTCTTTGTCTGCAATTAATAATTTGGATTACCGTTATGATGTGGATTAAGTTGAGTTTATCTTGTTTTGTACATTTTCTTTAGTTGTTTGCTGAAATTGGCTTTAAATTTCTAGTCGAGCGAATCTAACTGCAACTAATTCTAGTTGGTTTTAAATGAATTATCACACACGAGGTCCTCAAAAAATTGAAATAATACAGAGAAAATTAGCACGACTCTAGTATAAGAAAGACAAGTTTAAACGGGCAAAACCCTCGTCACTCGTTCTCTTAACCAAAAAATGAATGTATTTCCATGGTCAGTGATTTGGACAATACAATGTGGAGAAAACATGGCAGTTTACAGTGTGGGATTACTTCATTCAATAAAGTCAGTCAGACAGGCTAAACAATAGGGAATCAAAGGACAGACCGATTTGGCAAAAATTGGTTGGCTTTTTTCTTTTTCTTTTTTTTTTTCAAAGTGTCCAATCATGTTTGGACACACGTCCACACTGTTTTTGAGCCTATCTCTATAGCGTTATTGTACTTCATCATACCCGTGAAACGTCCTTTACTTTAGTATTTGATCATGAAAGGCGTGAAGAGACTGGAAAAGAGGAAAAGAACTCCCCAAAGTGATAAAGAACATAATTGTTCATGAATAATCCATGATTATTCAAGAAGAATCCTGGTAGTCAAGAAATAACCAACTACTTTCATAAAGTCATATGAAACAAAACGGTTTGTTCAAATTATGTACTGTTCATTAATGTAAATAACTAAAATATCTGAATCTTCCTAACTAGGCAAGTCATTATATCCTAGATACAGCATTTACATGTACATCTTGCTTTCATGGACCTTAAATAATCTTAAAAAATAAATGCATGGAATGAAGAAAGTCTCATGATCAATCAGCCCGGTGGTCACGGGCGGAAGTGGGGTGGTGTGCTTCTTGGCCGAGAAAGCCCTTAAATTTCTTTCTTACTCAACTATATACATGCTAGTCGTGTTCATTCCGATAGGTTTAACTTACAAAAAAGTGTAGTATGATTCTTTTATAATATATTTAAGATGATCTTCACTTCTAAATGCTGATGAGGGAATCGATTATGAACTATATTCTGCGGTAGATTTTCAATCGCGTATTGACGCTCTCCTTAAGATAATATTAATCTCTCAGCCAAAGAATGACAAGGGAATCAAATTTACCTTCAGGATACAATGAAATTGATGTCATGTTTATTGGTGTTGGTGCTCATGATGATGACAAACTCAATATGAAAGATATATATGCAAATTTTAAATGAAAAAGAAAGCAAGAATCTTTTGAATAAGAGGAAGAAGAAAATGAAGAATATTGTACTTTGACTTTCAATAAGAAACCATCAACGTCTCTTGATTAGCCATCCCAAGACCCAAGTCCGATATAAATTACTTGATAGGGGCCAAAAAGTGATACAAACAGCCACAGGTGCAAAAGCATCTTTTCATAGTTATACTTCAAACTCAGCCAGCCATACAGATTCCCGCCACCTTGATTCTACCCTTTTGATCGTTCGTTCAATTCTTGATCTATTACTCGAGAAAATTCTTCGATACATTGCACTATGATTAAACGAGATCATAAAAACCTTTCCCACTATAATCGACGTTGGACTTCTATTTGCAGTTTTTCCAATAGTATTTTACAGTACATCAAGCAATTGTTGAGGATTTATATAGTGAACGGTCAAATTGACTTGTTTTTCTACTTTGACACTAGGTTTTCAAAATAAAGCCTATATATTTTAACGTTATTACTTTCCAGAATAGGATGGAATTAAAAAAATATAATGATCATGGCTAACTGATTACATTAACAATTAATGGTGTTATCCACAAGTGGTATGCAAATGGTCCAATCTTAAATATACTGCAGAGGCACATTGATTTCTTGTTGGGGCCATGATATGCTAACGTTTTTTTGGAGAACTCCTCATGTGCCTTAAAGCATCCATCCTCAAGAAGTGAAAGCGTGTAAAACCCGGTCGAGCCATGTCTAGCCGGATAATTTAGGGATGAGACACAGACACCCAGGAGCGGCCTTGACAATAGACAGAAGCCACGTAGGGCCCTTCGTAGGTGCGGACAACCATAATATTAATGCTTTAATATCTATAAAAATTCATACATATAGTAGATTTAAAACCCCAAAAATCTCAAGTCTCGTCTGGATTGGCCCGGGAGACACCTAAAAATGGAAATTGTAGGGTTCCCGTATTAGGTAGTTCACACTAATGAAAGGTTAGAGATAAGTGCTTTTCATGATTTAGAGTTAAGTGCTTTTCATTAAAAATGATAGATAATATAATACAAACACATGCATACACTTATATCAAATACATGAAGGGAGTCAAACATGTCAATACACCATTTAGAAGCCAATCAACAAGTTTCTTCATTGGGTTGATCAAGGGTCATTCTCTCAAAATTGTCATCTCATGTGATGAAGCATTCTAATGGTCCACCATTTTTTCCATTGTAGGCGATGGCATTTATCCTTTACACGAGATTTGCCACTATATATAATACTCAGTCTTACTTGTCAAATCGCACCAAAATAAATCGTATTTTTTTTTTTCCCGTCTGGCTTGCACTAGGAAACTCGTAACACTACAACAAACGTATGGAATAAGTCAATTCATGGTGAAAGAAAATATTTGCTAGTTTCTATTAGAAACATGCAAAAAGAAAGAGAGAATAAATTCTTTGAATTAAAAAATAATCTTACTTTCCTTAATGAAATGGAGACGTAACGAGCTTCGAAAATTTTGCTTTAAAAATGCTTTTCTTTATCATGATCGAGTGAATTTTCATAACATGGCCAAGACAAAATTATGCATCATACAAGGACTGACAAAGTTGAGTAGTCTTTCTCATTGAAAATGCCAAGCATGTCCTTGTGGTCCTTTACTCTTCCACTTTAAATGGTATGTTATTATTTTTCAAATAAAAATCAACAACAGACCATTTGTTTAAGATATTAATACGTTAAATTCCTTATTTTAGCAATTTTTAATTTTTAATAATTATAAGTATTCTAAAAATCCGATGCTATCCATTGCTAAAATTTCACATTCAAATTCACTAAATGAACTTGTTCTTAATGTGATAAAAACTTAAATCTTCATTAGCATAACAACAGTGTTGCCTAATGTATAATTTACGAGTATATTTATACCCAAAATGTATGAAAGAAAAGTCGGAATACAATAAATCCAACTATAACTATGAGATTTTGGGATGACAATAACAAGATAAGCAAGATGGTGGACTGCATTATTCCCCGGGACATAACGACACTTGAGACGTGTTACTATTACGGCCAAAGGATAATACAACATAATATCTATAGGCAGAATTAACATTAGTGATTACAACATTATTATTTATAATTTTTTTTTTAATTATCAGTGATTACAACATAAAGGGAAAAGAAAGGGACAAGAAACCCAAGAATTTAGTCGTGAAATTAGAACCCTAGACGTAACTGCAATTTCAAAACTTTTGAGCATTATTTGGTTCCTAGTTAAAGGATTGTTACCCTAAACGTTCATTTAAAATAATGTGGTAGAAAGTGCTAGGAACTAAAATGAATAGTTTAATGCTCTATAGAGTCATCGATCATAACAACTTGGTTCATGTTCACTTAAAAGTCAATTCTATAATAAAAGTTCACAGCTTATACTCGAACCAACAAGTTAATAAAAAACTACATAAAGTAGTCCCATAATAGTCGAATTCAACTCGAGTAGCTAAACCTTGCTAAGAAATTATTCAAATTTACATTTGATCTCAAAACTTGTCAAGAATTCGAACTAAACCTGACGAAGAACAATTAAATTCATGTTTATTGTATCGTTGGTTCTCGTCCAAGTACCAAAAGCCATAATTTGAAGTCGAGTTATTTGCCTGTTGAATATGGAACCACAAAGTAGAATATGCATGCCAACTCAAGCATGAGAGGAGAGGACAAGCGTGCCCTTATCATCCCTCACAATGTGGTATACGAGCATTTTAGTGGGCTCTGCGTACCCATTAAAATTTTGTACAAAAAGTGACAAGATTTCATATGGTGGAACTTCGACACTATAACCAATGACATAAGACATAGATATGTATCAAATCCAACTTGTAATAATTAGTGTACGACGAAGGGACGTTCCCCCCAACAACATTAATATTTCGATTTGAATCAGAAGTTGCTGCACACAATGAAATTGAATGTTTTATAATTTTCAAAAGGCATTTGATTATAGTGATAACGATTCTATCATGTTCTTTGATTGATGGAACCATGTGAACAATGTGCAGGGTGTTAAATGTAATATGTCAAGTTGAATAAAGATAAAATTGTAGTTAACGTTAATTTGTTACTTTTTTAACAAAGTTAATCTAATGAAACTTCAAAATTAAGTATGGTATTAGAGCTCAAAATACTTAAACGAGCAATTCTATCTATTTAAAACTCAAATAAATAAAGAAATTTCAAAATTGATGCTCTCAAACAAGCCAATGATTTGAGTTACTTTTCTTAACAATTCTATCTATTTAAAACTGGACCGAACCGACCGGTTCAACCCGAAAACCGGTGAACCAGACACTTCTCCTATCCGATTAGCACAATTTGGTCCATTTACAATCAAACCGGATAAGAACCATCCAAATCGATTCATATATGTCATAATCTGGGCGGGTTTAAACATGTGAACCGTTTTTGTGAAATTTGTACCTAATAAAATTTAGGGAAAGTTGCAGACGAGGTATCAAACTTTTCGTTAATTAGCAAACTTTACCCAAACCTTTAGTTTGTGTCACCCACAATACCAAACCTTTCAAAAACTCTCAGTGGAAGTCCAAATGGATGGAAACTGTTAATTTGACTGTTAGTTGACCAAAGATTTAACATTGACCATTATTTTGACTAATTTTAAAAGGATAAAATGGTAACAATACATTTTTCAAAAAAATAAAAATAAATAATTACAATATATTAATAATTAAATCAAAACACAAAAACGCTATTCATCTTCATCTCCATCCCCCGCCCCCCACACACTCACCCATCCACCCACCCACTTCCCAAAACCAACACCCACCAAAAAATCAGCACCCACCAATAGTCATTTTGTTATCAAATTTCCCTTTATTCATATCGCCTTCCTCTTCTTTGCTTCTTAATACTAAATTCTTACTACTCCTTGACCCCAGCCACTTGATTGTTATTCTCATTAATGTCTTTATTCGAAGGAATATAAATTCTAGGGTTTGACTATTTTTTACGGGATTTCTTGATTTTTTTTTAAAAGTTACCATTATCGGAGTCTCCATAATTGAAGAGCTCAAAGAGGACATTGGTCATTACATCAAACAGTTGGTTATCCTCCTTCTAGATTCGATCGAAATCGGGGTCATTTCGGGTTGGAACTAGGTCGGGATTGTATCTGATTGTTTAAGGTCCGGTGAAGTTGGGTCGTTGAGGAAATTCTCGAGGTTGGAAGCATCGCCCGAGGGGAAGACTCTGGAGGAATGAAGCCGTTCAAGCCAGTTTGGACCGAGATCAAGCTCTCACAATGTGTGTTTTGGTGGGTGTCGATTTTGGTGGGATTTGGTTTTGTGGAGGA